GGGGGGGGGGGGGATAGTGTATGAATTTTAGAGATTAACTTGTCTTTTGTGGCTATCAAGTAATGAAATTATAATATACTGTATCTCATAATATGATTGTAAAAAATTTCACGGCTTTCAAGGAAAATAAAGAATCACTGTCAGAACATGTTTAAAACAACTTTGAGTTTTATCGTGTTAGCAAGTGGGAGTTAGGCTTGATATTAGAGGTTAAGGAAGGTCAGTATATCTATGCTGAAACATGGAGTCCCTCTGTGCTGGTCAGTCCCACGGCAGCAGTGACAGAGCAGCTGTGGAATTTTTTCCTTTCACATGGACAGTTTTGCTTAAAGTACCTGCATTTGGACAAGTCAGTGTTTTAAGTCTGTGTACAAGTTAAAACCCTTCTCCTAAATGCTCTTTGTCATTTGACTAGTTAACAAATCATAGAAAATACTAAATGCCACGTGCCTTTCTCTTTAGTATTTTAGTGAGATGGTCTACTTTGAATTTATCATAAATACAGTTGAAAATACATGGCAACATTAATAGTGATTGTTCTTCAGAAATGACCTATAAATGCTCTTGTAGAATATCTCAGTAATTCTCTATGTTGTGTTACCAATAAGATAAAGTACTAATTTGTTAGGCCATATCAAGAATTTGGAACATCTTTCTGCCCTTAAAATAATACTTATTGACTTGTTCTAGCCAAAGGAGGGAGGTTAATTTGTGAGTAATGGCATATCACACATTAAATTTGTGCATGCAGCTGTTGCCCACACATCTATTAAGAGGCGAACTGAAGGACATAATCTAAATAATGTATTCTGTTTTGTTTTTAAATACAGTAGTTGTACTTCCCTGTAAGGATCTACCGTTAGTTAAAAGATACTGGGCTTGCTCCAGAGTCCCCCTATCAGTCTCTCTGGTATTACAGTTACTTTTTTTTTTTTTTTTAATAAAATAGATTTTCTGTTTATGCTGGGAGACCTGCATGAGCGTCAGAATGAAGCTGAGAAGGGAAATTGACTCTGGTCTTAAGTCCTAAATATAAATAAATATTACCTTTTTTCTTTAGTCTCTCAAGCATTCTGCTTGTCACAGCAGTAGACGAAATATTTTCACTAAAAGCTGTGAACATTAGTAAGCTTTTTATATCACGAGGAGGAGGGAGTTGTTTTACTAGGAAATGCAGCTTCAACATAAAGTACTTCAGATCTCTTTATCTCATATCTGTACTGACAGTGTATTGATTTGGTTTATATAAAAAGATCCAAACAGAGTCAATAGTAACTACCATATGATTTATTGTAACGAGGGAAATTCATGAAGATGAAATGTAGCTCCTTCTCTGTGACCTTAACAGTGTTCTTTTAAAACGTTCAGACCCATTAAATTATCTTTATTTGTGTCTGAAATTGATGTAGGTGACTTATTACATGCCCAAGTATAGGATTAGTTATACTACCACAACCGTGTTTTAATAAACGTGAAAAGCAATAAATGGTAATTTCTCTTCTGCATACAGTAACTATGTACTTACTATGTGACTTGTCTGAAAATTGTTTGAATTTGAAAATGTATATGCTAGATATGGCATAGATCAGCTGGTTAAGCTGCAGGACAACCTTTGTAGATATTTATGCTGTATTTTCTGCAGTTGCTGTTTGACGCCTGCTAGAGACACCAAAGACACACTGTGAGATTGGAGTTTTGATTGTATGTACAAGCGTACTAGTAAAAGCTCATCAGTTTCAGCTCTGCTTATCAATTTGTAGCACCTTTGACTTTGAAAGGAAGGCATAAATGTTTTAACAGAGCACTAGACTGGGCAGTGGAGTGGGAACAGAGGGAGAGCCCATACGGTGAAAGCACTGTGTGTGGCCAAAAACTTGCTTTTTTTTTTTTTTCCTTCACTAAAATGATGGTAACTTTCTCTGTTCATGTTGTCAAAATGTAGTTAAGGTAAAAAAAAAGATAGCTTATTATTGACATTGGCTCTTCTTAGCTAAGGTAAAATACAATTTTATGTGTTTTAACCAAGTGCACAATGCTGGATATTTTTAACTGGCTGTCTAAATAAGCTACCAAATTTTCTGCTTCCAGTTTGAGCTGGATAATACTGTAGAGAGTAGTACTGTACTGAGAGAAAATTCTCTTCCTACCGATTCTGTGCTCTGTGGCTTGAGAGCACTTTTGGAAGAGGGTCACCCTCTACTGTGTCTGATTTTTATCACTCTTAGTTATTGAAAGAGGTAGGGTTCTGCTTAAATGGTCTGATCTCGTATGGCAGTTTCTTTGTTCCTATGCAAAGTAAATAGATTGTAGCTAACTAATCTGGAGCTTTCTGTCTCGTTGGATTTAGTAATACTAAAGGTTTGGTCTCCACTGTCATTCAGTAGTCTCAGTACTGCTCAGTGCAATACCTGTGTGCAATTGTGCCTTACCCAAACGTCAAACACGTAGAGTACAAGATTCGAACATCAGTTTTTTCTTCTCGATGATGGATTTGAACTTCATGGGATCTTTTAGTGTGGTAATGCATTTGTTGTCGTTTGGAGTAAAGAAAGGTAGCTGTGCAAAAGTTTATCCTGGTGCAGGGGAGGATGAGGCAGGAGTGGAAACAAGTGGCTGGGGGTGGGGTGACTGTGGGAATGCTTCTGTTGGCTTTCGCTGGTTTCCAGTATTGATGAAACTTCGCTTAAGCTTGTTTAAAATAGAAATTATACGTTGCTATGTAGTTGTTCTTTAAACTGGCAAAGCTAGTTTTCAGCAGCAGTGGTGATAAGAGAAGGTATCTGGTTTGAGTTCTGAGTTTCTAATGCTAATCTCTGTGTTCTCTGAGGATTCTCTACAAAGACGCAAGGGTTGTCTTATTTTACTTTTTATCTGCTCTGCTCTTACTTAAAGCTCTAGAATTACAGTTCATTCCTTCGCTTGAGGCAAAGTGGATTGAAAGCTTTTAACAAGACTTTATTACTTGTCTAGGTGACTAGGAGAACGTAGTTAAGTACAAAGTTGCTTTCTATTGCTTCCCTCTCTCTTTTTTTATCTTTACCCGGAGGCTGAGTGTGTTGCCTGCAGGACGCTTCTGATTTCCTGCCTCACCACACTGCAGAACTGGAGAATCCTGCTCGGCGGTGAACAGTCTTATTTTTTTTCCTGTAAGATATGTTTGGGGCTTTGGGGTTTTTTGTTTGTTTCTTGGCTTTGGAGTTTTTTTAGTTTTGGTTGGGTGATGGTTTTTTGTGGGGGGATTTTTTATGTGTGTGACTGGGTTTTTTTTTTTTTTGAAAGATCGGTTTTGTTGAATCTTGGCTGGAAAATGTCGTGAAAAAAACAGAAAAACAGCAACTCTATTTACTTGATACTTAAGACTCATTTGAAATAGGGAATTGTTTACCTTCTGTCTGGAAACTGATGAAATACTTTTCAAATTGTCTTAAAGCTGATAGAGCCATCATTCCCTCTCAGTTTTGCTCAGAAATGTCCAGTTCTTTGGTAGTGCTCAGAATCTGATGGCTAAGGATTTGAAGGTGTTTGCAAAAAGTGGGTTTTTTCCTTTTCTTTAAACTTAGAATGTCATCGAGTTTCTCTGTGATGAGATTAAACTGCAATTCCAGTCAGTCTACATTTGTTTCACACTGTCTCCATATATTACTTTTGTGTCCTTGAAGTATAAACTATTCACATAATTCATGGAAATATAATACTGTTTGTTCTCATCTCTCTTGTCCTAATATTCTGGTTTGTAGTGGAATGGCTACTAATACACTTATTGTGCCAGGTGACTTCAATTCTTCCTTAGTATTTCTTATCAATAGATTTCACACCGTTGTTGATACTGCAGTTCCTTGGAATAACTTACTCAGGGTCCAGGGTCACTGTGGTAGGTGGGAGTAGAGTGCTGGAAAAATGAGTTGCATCTTCTAGACAACACTGACGTCTGACTACATCTTATGTCTTGTTTTCTGAGCTCTTTTCTGTCCTCTTCTTGAGCATCTTGCTTTTGAACAAACTGAAATGAATCTTTGCTCAACTGTCCGCCATGACGATCAGGTCTTTTTGTGAGCTGGTAGTTAACCTTCAGAGGTATGCAACTAATACTCTTTGTTTTGACCCGTGGATGTGCATTTCATTTCACTGGTTATTTCTCTCAAAATACCCTCTTACACTCTGAGGATTTTTTTATATTTCCTGTATGACTGTCATGCTTGTATCTTCAGGATTGTTTCTTTCAGATGCTGAAAGGGCTTTAAATGTTAAAGAAAAAAAAGCATTTGCAGTAATACCAATTTGAGAAACAGTTTTGTTTTGTAAAACAAATTGTCAGTGTTACCTCCTATTCTACTGCCAGTAAATGCCTGTGTAATTTTATTTTGGTAGTTTTTCATCTTCTTTAAAAGGGAAGCTTCAAAGCTCAGGGGATAATAGGGTCTCCCCATTACCTTCAGGTAATATTTAACTGTTCTGCATCTGTAGAGGCATATGGAATGCAAATATCTGGAATGTGTGGTGAAACTTGCAGTGACCTCCAGTTTGCTGTTCGTCTAGAGTTTGTTGAGCTTGTCAGATTAATACACTCTAGCAGGCAAGTGTTTCTTTATTGCTGTGGTTAAGACAATACTTTAATTGCTTTAAATTATGAGAGTACCTTAATTTCTAGTTGCTGACTATGTGGTTTGAAATTCCATGTGTAGTCAGTGACAGTTTTCTCAGTTTATCAATATTTTGCACTCTTATTTTTACTTCTTTGATATTAGACTGTGGAGTTGC